CCTATAAACCAATAAATAAAGCTCTTCGATCGGGAAAAGCTGCTAATTTAAACACAATTAACTCTATAAAAGTAATGTGTAATATAGCACATGGGTCATTCGACAACCGACTTCAAAGTCATTCAATATATGAGTTTTTCCCTAGTGGGAGAACTGGATCGAAAGTAGTTCAGTCACCACCGAATTTGATATATTACAGATTAAACAAAACAGACATTAATTCAATAACTATACAATTAGTTGATCAAAACAATAATCCCATCGATAACTTTAATGAGACATTGACAGTTGTTCTGCATATTAAACGTCACGAGTCATATTATTAAATTTATATCTCAGATATCAGGATGTACGAGTCAGTTACTTTAAGTTTAACCGGCAACACAACCATATTATCTGCAAATTATTTTCCGTCTATAAACCTTTACGAAGACTCAGAAATAGCTTTGTTATGTTTGCAAACATTTAATACATTCCCGAATATCAACAAAGATAATAATAAATTTGCTATACAAGCAGTTGACCATAATAATAATAATACTGATCGTATGTGGTGTTATATTAAACTGGAAGAAGGATGTTATGAAATCAAAGATATTAAGCATCGAGTTATGGAACAAATAAATATTTATAATGAAAAATTCAAAACCAAGTTAATATTTGACATTTCGGTTGATTCTAACGACTTCAGATCATATATAAAATGTAATGGAATACTTCAATTTGAGGTTTTACATAGCATAGCACCTGTATTGGGTTTTAAAAAACGAGAATATAAGCCAGATTATGAAACTCATAGATCGGAAAAAGCTGTGAATTTTAACACAATGAATTCTATAAAAGTAATGTGTAATATAGCTCAAGGATCATTCAACAACCATATTCAAAGTCATTCGATTTATGAGTTTTTCCCTAGTGAAACGTCAGGATCGAAAGTTGTACAGTCACCACCAAATTTAATATATTACAAATTGAATAAAACAAATATTGATACGATAACCGTTCAGTTAGTTGATCAAGATCATAATCCGATTGTCAATTTTGGTGAGACATTGACAATTGTGTTACATATTAAACGTTACGGGTCTTGAGATGGGATTAAAATTCAATATAAACCCACTACTTCGGATCAGTACAACTAGTCATAAGACTAAAGTGCTACCAGCAACATCAAATAAAATAAAAAAATTGACGGTGAAGAATAAAAAAATTTTGCGAGCTCTGGGATATCAATTAAAGCAGAATGCCTGAAAGTGATATTTTGGATATAACTTCGCAGTACGAGACGGATTCTAAAATTACGAAAATTGAATATCATTCCTACACACCGTATACTACATCATTTAATAATAATGATGAAATACGTATATCAATCCAGCAAACGGATGTTTATCCATATCTACACGGAAGCTTTATTTTTTTGGAGGGGACAATTACTGATGCTACCAAAGTGAAACTAACTAATAATGGTTACTCTTACCTCTTCGAACAAATACGATTGGAAATCAATGGGATAGAAGTAGATAGCACACGTCGTGGGCTCAGAACCAAAAGGTGCTATCTCAAAATATCAAATTGTTCAGGAGAGCCATTTTAAACTATTTTCAACTTAAAACTGCATTATCTTTTTTCGTAATGAATGATTTTTAATGATTAGCACATCTAAAAATTCACAAAGTTGTTCTGAGTTAACACTAGCGTTCATATTTTGTTTTATTTACTATTTCAGGAACTATTGAAGACAAAAAGAATTAGTTAAATTATGAGTTTATTTTATAAAATGACATAACAATAATAATTTGATATACGTATAATGATGGAATTGTAATTATTAATATAATATAATAAGTAATAACAATCTATCAGTATTAATATGATCAAGGATCAAACAAAAATACCTGACAAACTTAATGTTTTAAGCAAAACTAGTTTTTAAAAATTAGATTTTGTTTTTTGTTGTAATTGAGAAAAAAAAAAGACAACGGTTAAGTGGATATCACTTAGCTGTGCAGTAGGTTACAAGTGGGTCAGTGTAATAGATGATATTAATTTTGAATTAAATGATAATATTATAATATCATTGTATAGGTACACTATACCTACGAAAAACAATTCTGAGTGGAAACGGTTTGTCAGTCTATGATATTTTATATTACATTATTATATTGTTATTAATATTTATTATTAATACGGTAGCCGTTAAGTTGAATTAAAATCGTTATTCTTTGTTATGTAATATGTAATTTGGTACAAATTTCAACTTAAAAAAATATTTAAAAAAACTGTGTTTAATGTTTTAATGTTTATATATTATTTCGATTTTTCGCGTAAAACATGAACTGTTTATGAGAATCCTTGTTTTAAATTTTACATTTGTAGCTATAAAATTGAAGAGCTTAAAATTTATCTAACTATAGAATAGTTTGCAAATTATAGAGATTTTGTTTAATTTTGTCAAAATTTGAACTTCCCATGAGGAATATTGAATTTAATATCCAAGCATTTCGACCCAACAAAAAATTTTTTATTGATATTTATACAAAAAAAACTAAAAACATTGAATGTTTCAATCTATTTTAGTTAATAAGTTTCAATATTTTGAATATGTTCTGACGGTGTATACAGAAAGTGTTAATTTAAACTTTTGGTAAAAATTTCATGTACCTATCTGCAGTATATTTTTTTTTTTTTAGAATTATTACGGAATAAAGTGTTGCTATTGGATGGCTTCTTTTTTCAAGCGTCGCATGTAAAATAAATCAATGTATATCCGCATACATGTTTTGTGATTTTAAAAAAAATTCAAAATATCCAATTTATAAACATATTGAAAAAAATTGATTAAACGTTTACAGTATTTAATTTGAGTAATCCGTTAGCGACTTATTTGCGTTTAATTATTCGTTCAATTTACTGCTACTGGGCAATTTATCAAACCCAACAGTAAAAACCAGAAGTCAAAAGAACCGGAGATAACTAACTTTTAATCTGTGGTTTTATCAAAAGCGATTATCGGTTATCTGGTATTCGTTTTCATAATACGGATAACCTGGGGTCTAACATCAAGTTAGTGCGAGTAAACGTTTTAATGTTTTTTGGAGGTTCATACTTCAGATCATAGACACCAATCATCTGATCGAGTTTTGCACATAAAGGCGCGTTTACACGGTGACAGTACAGTCATGACAGCGCTGTCGTATAGTAACGTGACAGCTACTGTCACATGAAGATGAGAGTTTACACGGTGACAATAATTGTCATAACAAATATTGTGTTTCGTGCGATAGCTGATTAAAACAGTGTCACTAGTTTATTTTATTATTCACTTTATTATTATTTATAATTGACTTATTCTCTTGGGTATTGTTTTAATTTTGCTCATCGATTAATCATGTCCGAAGAAGTTGTAATCTCAATGATAAGAGTGATCGGAGAAATGATATTATTAAAACATAAAAAACGAGGTTTAAAAAAAAAAAAAAGAGTGGGTAAGAAAATGGATACAAAGGCGGAATAACTTGGGTGTTACAAATACATTAATTAAAGAATTTGCAATTGAGGACTCCAAAAGTTTTTATAACTTTTTAAGAATGAATGAAGAAATGTTTGACACATTACTTAATAAAGTAAGTTAAAAAAGTTATTTTTTTTTCAATATTATTTTAATTTAATAGTATCGGTGTCAGAATAGATTCATTTATTTTTCATAGGTTTCTAAAAGGATCCAAAAAGAGGATACAGTTATGAGGAATGCTCTCCCAGCAAATTTAAAATTACAAGTTGCTTGTAGATTTTTAGCTACAGGTGACTCACTTGCGTCTCTACAGTATTTATATTGAGTACCAAAATGTAGCATAAGTAAATTCCTACCAAAGGTTTTTGACGCTATTTATGAAGCATTGCAGGATTATATCATGGTAAGAATATAAATATAAAATAATAAATAAAAATATTTAAATATTTAATCAACTTCACAATAAAAAAAAGTATATAAAATGATTTTAATTTCAACAAAAAAACATACTTTATACTGATAACTTTGTCAGTTTTTGAATCAAATAAAAAATAAAAAATAAAATACTTTCAATTAAACAAAATAGTAATAACATAATGATTGAGAATTATTTATTCTAATATATTTTCCCAATTTGCATAGTAGTTAGTTAGTGATGGTTGTTCTATAATTATTTCATTGAAGGGTACTTCTTCATATTCAGGTTCATGAGGTATGGCTTGATAACTACTTTTTGAACTATTTAATGGAAGACCTACAGTAGAAGGTGATGAAAGCGATGAAGTTGTTGAAGAGCTACTAATATGTTTAAGCCTTGCGTCAGATATTTTATTTTGAAATTCTCGCTGAAGGTTAATCGCTACTTCTAAAGGTAGTTGAGACAACTGTGTAGCTACGAGTTGTCCAAATTGAGTGAACTCATTATTTGAAGAGCGTGATGATGAACTCACTTCTCTTAGAGCTCTCACTCCGTCATCTAAAGAATTATCAATTCTTTGAAGTTTATTTGAATTGTTTCTCTTTTGCAATACTCTCTTTTTTGTTTGTGTGTGTAGTGGTATATCCAGTTCTTGAGTTTGTTTATTGACTTCATCTGCATTGATTTCATCATGTAATAACTAAATACAAAAATATTTTTATTCATTAAAGTTTTTAAATTTATTTAGAATTCATAAAAAATTTTGTTGTGTGATGTTATTATTTATTTTACTTGTTTTTAAAGGTACCACAAAAAGAAAGTGAATGGCAAGATATTATTAACGAATTTGAACTTAAATGGAATTTTCCGTCTTGCATAGGAGCAATTGACGGTAAACACGTAGTCATTCAATGCCCTAGTAATACTGGTTCTCAGTATTATAACTACAAGGGAACTTTCAGCATAGTGCTTTTAGCCTTATTTGATGGAAATTATAATTTTACTTATATTGACATCAGTAGTTATGGAAGTCAATCTGATGGGGGAATATTTTCTAAGTCTAATTTGATGAAAGCAATTGAAACTAAACAATTAAAAATTCCAGAAAATAGTGTGATTGTTGGCGATGATGCGTTCCCTTTAAAAAGTTATTTAATGAAGCCATATCCAAGAAGATTTCAACAAACGGATAGAGAAAAAATTTACAACTATAGGCATTGCAGAGCTAGGCGTATTGTGGAAAACGCATTCGGCATTATGGCCAGCCGTTTTCGAGTGTTCAGAAAACCTATACTTCTTGCTCCACAGACAACCATGAAATTAATTAAAGCTTCCTGTGCGTTACAGAATTGGATAAGAAAAAGCAACAGTACTAGTTCAATATCGGTTGATATAGAAGATTATGAAAGTGGATGTATAATTCCTGGGACGTGGCGAAATGATGTGGGATCTGAGGGCATTGTACCTTTACGTGCCACACAAGAAAGACATTTTATTCATGAAGCTCGTCAGAAAAGAGAAGAATTAGCGGATTATTTTATAGGAGAAGGAGCAGTTAATTGGCAACATAAGATGATACATTGAACTATTTACATATTACTTTAATATTTAAGTCATTTTCTATTCACTTTATTATTACCTCTTATATGCATGCAATTATGATAATATTTATAAAAGTAACAATAAATTTGTAACTCACCACATTTGATTCAGTCTCAATCTCTTGTTCTACATTTTTCCTCAAGAAACTATCAGCATAGGAAAACCAATTTAATTTTGGTTTGTAAATGTCTGCTGCACCAGACCCAGTTCGCATTGAATTTTTAATTTTGCCCAATTCTTGGTTGTATGTCTTATACTTCTGATTTCTGATCTTAATTCTTTTATGTTAGAAAGTCCTGAGATGGGTAATAATTTTTCCTCAGCCACATTTCTTTTTTGCCGATTCTTAAAATGAGGTAAACATTTATCCCACAAACAAGGATGCTCTTCGTAATGTTTTAGAAATTCAATAGTATCAAAAACCATTTTGAATTATTTTAATTTAAAATTTAAATTAATTGAATTAAAACGGTATCCGGATATAATAAAAAAGCAATTAAAACTGTAGGTATACGTGATAACAAGTAATAATTGATAACAACAATACAAAAATCGAACGGTGGTAGTTGACAGTGTGGTTGTCACCGTTTACACGATAGCAGTTGCTGTCACACTGTCAACTAGTTACTGTCAACTATCTAGCAGAGCTAGATAGTTCGACAGCTGGCAGTGGACAGTGTGGCAGCAGCTGTCATTATGTTTACACGACGACAGTCTCACGACAGCGACTATCGTGACGGCGACTGTCGAGTGATACTGTCATCGTGTAAACGCGCCTTAACGCATTTACGCATGTAGTATATTGTACCATATTGTACGTTATTCTTTTTATAATGTTTATCAAAAAATGTTTGGTTTTTGTTATAAGTTATGCGTAATAGGTATCTATGTCAATTATAAGTATACAAAGTAACATTGTTCAAAAATTACTGACCAGTGACCACCACCATATGTATTGAACTTCAATTATCACTGTGATTATGACAATTATTTATCCAGCAAGTAAATTATATTACCTACTCAAGTAATCCTAAAAAAAACCTTATGGACAATTCGAGAGAACATGAAACCTTTTTATATTATTATTTGTTTACTTTAATAGGAATTAATTTAAGTATGATATAATATACCTAAAAATCTACCTATTAAGAAAATGTGCTCATGATTTTATATTAGGCAAATTACACTGATACTGATCCAGTTTAGTATCTTACCGGTGTCACTTGCGACTTGCCCGACATAAAACCATCGTTACCATTTTTATATCGGTAAGACCTCACCCTTTCCACAGCAACAGCATTGTTTATACACCTTTAGGTACACATATTTATTACTTATTGACAACAATTAATTAAAATGTATTAACTATTAACTTTGTAGCACCTTCACTACCAAATACCCCCAAAAAGTAGGCATTATTTAAATATTTTGTATACCTATAATTTAAGTGATTACCTATAATATTAATGATAGGACTAATTACTAATAGGTAGATACATCATAGCATTTGGGTGATGATTAGCTTTTTTTGTTTTGAAATACTTAATTCACAATTTTGTGAGAGATCTCTTTTGTACCTTGAACTCCTGGACCTAAAATCTGTTAATCAGACTCTCCATCAACCATTTTTATGTGAAGTAGCTGTATAAATGTGTTAGTTTGCATTTTGACACGGTCGAGTGGTGTATCCGCCTTGACGTGTCTCCGGTTGACGGGTTGGGGGCGATACGCGCCTAGCCCGGTGATGCTGGTTGAGGAAAGGTGACACAAAACAATTAAATTAAAAAAAAACAAGCCGATGTGTTTAGATATGAATTTAATTAATTGCGAAAGTGTTTTTAACAGGAAATGAGCGATTAATTATTACAATCGAAAAAGGAAAAGAACAATATGTCGCTAGTGGTCTAACGGGTCGCGACGTAGCGTACAGTCTACGAGCGGGGTAGTGTTCGCCATAGATTAAAGAATAGTATAGATAGGAAACTACTACGATAAACCGGGCACGTAAAATAGCGCTCCCGGTGACATTTTTTAGAACTAATATCCGGGCGGCGATTTGCCGCCGCCGCAGCAGCTACTGGGGCACCGCTAACGTATTTCTTAAAAAAATATTTTATAGATGTTCATATTCATTCATTAATCATTAGAATAAAATAAAACAATCACTTATTAGTTACTTTTTTGTATGAACTGTTAATGTGGTATTGTCAATTTAACGCATTGCTGTGAAGCAAAAAAATTATAATAAATAAATTGTTATTAAATAATAACACAACTTTTACAAATTGAAATAGACTTTAATTTTTATAATACAAATCAGGTATAATTGTATAAAACTAACAGTTTTATAACAATACAAAATTATTAATTATTAAAAATACATTATAAACAAATAATAAAACTTTTACAAATAAAAATATTTCTATTTTAAATAAAAATACACAGAAATTAATAATGATACAAATTATAAAAAAAAAATAGCTACATAACTAAAAGTTTTAACAATACATAATTATTAATTATTAAAAATACATTATAAACAAATAATAAAACTTTTAAAAATTAAAATATTTCTATTTTAAATAAAAATACACAGAAATTAATAATATATATAATATAACAAATAGTTATGATACTGGAAAATATTGGGTATTTATAGGTAGGTAGTTATGTAATACAATGTAATTTAATGTGTTAAAATTTATTAAGACTATTGGTTTTTTGTTTATATCTTTTGGAATGAGTATTGTAATATGAAAATGCCATATTTTTAATGTTATCGTTATTATTTTTTTGTTTTGTATCAAGACCTCTTAAAATACGGTTGATGTTTTTAAAATAAGTGAAAAGAAACATATGTACAGTTTTTTTAATAAGTATATCCTTAATTTTATGATCTGGACATGTAAATGTGAATTCTAAGTTCATCTCAATAATTAAAATTAATTGTTTGGACAGATTACGTTCATGATATATATCATTAATGCAACATGAACAAATTTTAAGTACTTCTTTAATAAAATGAAATAAATTAGTAGATGGATTACATAATCCATATTTCACATTATCATATTGTCTGATCTTTATTAATGGATTTGTAATGTTTTCACTCCTTAGCTCAAATTTACATGTATCACATTGAAGTATCCATGATAGGTTTTTTTTCATTAAAAATCCTGCAATATAACTGACTGTCATGTCACTAACATCATTTGTTTTATTAACATTTTTTATTAAATTTGTGTCAAGAAAATTTATTTTAATAGGAACTTCTGCTTCATTAATGTTGTTACTTGTGAGGAATAATTTTAAATTACTTAATGTATCAATTTCATTATGCTGACAATTAGTTTCTCTAGATTTTATGGATGAAAAATTATTAAGAAGCAGAGTTTTAAATGAATTTACAAAGTGGTAACAATCAGGGTTAATGTTTCGACCAGAAAGTTGCCTAAATTGCCCAAATAAACACTCAAGTGGGTCTTGGTTTATGTTACGGGTTATAAGGTATTTAAAGCCTTCCTTGTTTAATTTAAACCATAAACTTTTCATTCCTTTTAAAGTTGTTATCCAGTTCTTAATACAAGGGGGTTTAGATATTTTACCTTTATTATCTACAAACGTCATAGAGTTAAAAACTGCTATTGCCTCGTTCCAAAATGAAATATGTTTTGAATTAGCTGTGACAGTGGAACGGAGATCCTTTCCTTTCATTGCACGGACTGAACTGGCATTTACAGAGTCAAAGAGAATATCCATAAATAAACAAAAGTCTGCAGTGCCAACAGCTTTTCGACCCAATTTAATATTATCTGGACCTAAATCAAACAGATTTATACTATATAATAAATGCACATATATTATACCTAGTTGTCATTACACAATATTACTTACCCATGTCACACATCAGTCTCATGGTTGATGCAACATTATGTGAAAATATTTGAGCCGCCGGAGACACTTTCATCTTCTTAATTTTATCCTTGTAAACATGGGCCTCGGTAATTTTTGGTATATTGCGCATTTCTAGGTTCTCATATGTTTTGTCTATATCATATAAGTTCACTAGATGTTCCCACGAAGCTGTTTGTTCTTTTCCACGCCAATTGAATTTAACATTTTTAGTTAACAAATTGATTTTAAGAGATGCGGTGGATCATAAATATGTATAATATCATGATCATGAATAAAATATCCGTTGTATTGGTTTTCAATTTTTTTTTCCAAACAATATTGGTGAGTCTTTTCCATTAACACATTAATTGCTGCAACGTTGGTTGAACCCTGATCCGATACCGTGGCCACAATATTCAAACCAGTACTTAAAATGTTCTGAACTACTTCTTTTATACATTCTACTAGCTGATGTGTTTTTGTAGTACCTTTTATAAAATAAAAACAAATTGGTTGTTTGTATTTCTTCCGAATACCTCTGATCATAAATGTTAGAACGTGGTCAGCAAAAGATGATGGATTCCTCTCAACTCCAAAATCTTCTAATCCAAAAACATAATCTGTATGTTTGTCGTATTGTAAACCAGCTTCGAGAGACATTTCATCAAACATTAGTGTACAGTAGCGATCCATAGGGCTCAAACGATCAACAATTTTTTTTAGGTGTTCTATAATATGATAATTTATTCCTGGTCCAAAAGGTACTTTACGTAATAAACACATAATTGTTTTAACAGAAGGAAGTGCAAATAATGATGACAAATATTTATAACCTTTCTGGCTTTGTTTGTAAATGGACAATGCCAATATTTTGTCATCATTAGTGTATCGCTGACCATGAATTGTTTTTTTTTTGATTTTTGACTTGGGACAAAATGAAGTTGTAGGTTGTGGAGTTAACTTTATTAACCATCTGACTAAAGTTTTCCTCTTTTAAAAATTTATCGGCAAATTTTATTCTGTGTTTGAAGGTATTTATTTTGGATTTATTTTTTGACAGTTGATTTTTGATTTTTAAGCTTGCTTTGTATAATTTTCTACAATTTGGGGTCATTTTGTTTGGTTTGGAGGTCTGTTGCTGAAGAAATGATTGGCGTTTTACTAAAAATAATAACATTTTAGGTATTAGTAGGGGATTAAGCCCACCTCTACAGTGACTTGCAATTATTATTGTTTAATAACAAAGAACAATAATGAAACCGGTTCATAATAAACAAACTCTTAAACTTACTTTTATTTTTTGTCGGTGTAGATAAAATAAATTGAGTATGTGGTTGAGAAGAAAATGATATCTCACTAGGAGTGGTCTCTATTGGTTGCAGTGTAATATTTTCATCAATATCTGTAATTATAAAAAAAATACATTTTTGTAATAATTTATTTAACCCTTTCAGTCCCATTGGCCTTCCTCAAGGCCATTAAGTACATAAATTGATAAAAAATCGTTTGTAAACGGTAGTAACTAATGAATTGATGAATAACATGTGAAATTATGTGTAGATCAATTTAAAAATATAAACACACCTGTTTAAATTGTTGTTTAAGACTTAATTGAACTTAACAAAATAATTTTTAAGAATTTTGAATTTTATTGTTATCAATTTCTTTATTGTTGATTATTCGCTCAAATGTCGTTATAAAAATGTGATTTTTTGTAATCTCCTTGAATATATATAAAATATTGACGACAAATGGTCGAAATTTAATTTTTACCTCCAAATAGTGCACAATGGGTGTTTTTGTTTGGCCTCCGAGGAGGCCATTGGGCGTTCGTGATATAAAAACACGTTATACTTTTATCAGTTTAAATTCCTTGTTATGAACATTTTTCATTTTTTTATTTGCTAAATGTTTTTCTAATAAGGCACCTAATTAATTGAATCATATAATAATCTAATATTAATTATATTAGTGAACTTGTTATTGTATTTCTTAAAAGTTAATTTAAAAACAATATAGTACTATATGCTTTTGTGTTTCCTTATTGATGTTCTTTTGGTATGTATGAAAAAAGTTACAACTTCATATTATTATTTTTGAATATTTATAATAGTTTCCATTAAATATTATTTACTTCATTATTTTAGAAATGGCATCCCATAGTATTTTGGCAGATGATTATATTTTGGAGCTATTAGGAGACGGTACAAATTCAGAATTATCCGATTTATCTGATGAAGACGATGAATATTTTCAATCAAGTGAATTTGATTGTCTTATGACCAATTTTGATGATGGTGATTTTAATTTACTATTAGATGAGGATGATGACAAGGAAAATGAAATAGTTGTAAGTATTCAATGTAGATTATTACATTACTGTAGGAAGTAAAGTATATGTATTGCTTACACTTTGTAGCCAGTGAATACTGATCCAGTGACAAGATATCAGTCACAAAATAGAACATCGAGAAGTGCAACAGTTGCTGTTGACCAATCTATTGATACTGAGGTAGAAAATATAACAGTTACCAATGAAATGACTGAAACTAACACTCCTGCAACTTCTAGTCTGGCGTATATAGATAAGTGCAATATTCGGTGGAAAAAACAACCTTTTGTTCCTCCAAAAATTACTTTGAAAAAACCTCGTGACCGCTTGTATCCTAATAGTACACCTACACCACTTGACTACTTTTTAAAATATTTTCCAGAAAGTGAGTTTGAAAATATGGCAAATTATACTAATACCTATGCTGAACAAACAGGGAGATTAAATTGGAAACCCACTAATTCAAAAGAAATGAAAATATTTGTAGGTATTCACTTATACATGGGTGTATTAAATTTGCCCCGAATCCGTATGTATTGGGAACAAAAAAGTAGGATAAATACTATTGCTGATAATATGACACGAAATAGATTTTTTGAATTACGGTTTAATTTTCATGTCATTGACAACAACACCATTCCTACAAACAATACAGACCGATTTATAAAAGTAAGGCCACTTTATGATTTGTTGAAAAAAAGATGTAATGAACTACCCGTTGAGAAGAATATAAGTGTTGATGAACAAATGGTTCCATTTAAAGGAAAACTCAGTGCAAAACAGTACATGAGAGGTAAACCAAATCCATGGGGAATTAAATTGTTCTTATTATGTGGCGAAGATGGTCTGGTTTATAACTTTATAATATACCAAGGATCTACTACAGAACTAAATCAAGATATGCAAAAAAATATGGTTTAGGTAGTGCTGTTGTTTTACATCTTACAGATCTACTAGGAAAAAATCAACATTTTTTATTCATGGATAATTTTTTCACATCTTATAACCTACTTCATGCATTACAACATAAACAAATTTTTGCTGCTGGAACTATCAGAGTTAATAGATTTGTTAAACCACCATTTTTGACTGATAAAGAATTATCTAAAATGGGCCGTGGGACTACATTTGAGGTAAGTTCTGATGTACCCAACAGCAAAATTGGACTTGTTAAGTGGTATGATAACAAACCAGTTTTATTAGGCTCAAATTTTATAACTTCAGGGACTCCAGATGAAGTTTCTAGGTATGATAAAAAAGAAAAAAATACATTTTAATAAACAGACCAGAAATAGTGAAACTTTACAACCAATCAATGGGAGGCGTTAACAAACATGACCAATTAGTAAGTTACTTTAGAACTTTTATGAAATCAAGAAAATGGACTTTAAGAATGGTTACACATGTTTTTGATATGGCCACAGTCAATAGTTGGCTAGAATATAAAATGGATTGTAAGCATTTGAATGTTGATAAAAAACATATTATGGACTTACTGCATTTCAAAGAGCGTTTGTCTGAAACTCTTATTTTGGTTAATAATATTGTTGTTAGGAAGAGAGGAAGACCTAGATGTAGCCCAGTTTCATCATCACCATCACTATCCTCTACACCAGAAACAGCCAAAAAAAATATTAAAAGAATTGACCAGTGACCATTTGATGAAGTAAGGTATGATTATATAGGTCATCTTCCTCATTTTGACAAATTAGATAATGCCATTCGTTGCAAGTATAATGGATGCAAGCTCCGCACTCATGTATTTTGTAGAAAATGTAGAGTTCACTTGTGTTTCACAAATAGAAACGAATGTTTTACTATATACCATGAAAATGAAGTTCCTACAAATGTGTGATAAAAAAAATAAAAGTGACTGAGTACAATAGTAGGTAGTACATTTTAAAAAGGATTTTTAAATTTTAAATTTGATTTTGTTTTAATTTTTACTATCTAAGATTTGATGTTATTTATTATTAACCTTTTAATTTTAATTTTTACTGTCTAAGATTTGACGTTATTTAAATTTATAACCATTTAAAATTGTTTTAATTTTTACTATCTAAGGGCCGTTACACACGAGCGATATTTCATCGTACGATTTGTTTATCGTACGGAAATATTATCGTACGATACTATATAGTTGGCAGAACATATGACCGATATTTATCGGACGATACTATGTAACATGATAAAATAACCAGGTATGTCAGCAACTTTGTGTGGCACACAAGATGGCGGCCGGTGTGCGCCTGTTATCATTTTTTGCATTTGTAATTCTATAGTTGCACGAGACACACGTCTGCACTATACAGTGTTGTGATACATTTAATTTTTAATTTATTAATAATTTAATATATTTCTAAATACTGCAATGGATAACATTGTAACTCTTTATATGGGTTATAATTTACTAGTAAAAAAAAAAGAAAATAAACAGCAAAATCGAAAATTTTGGGTTCATCCCTTATTAAGTACCCGTCTATCAGAAGGTGCATTTACAATAAATTTTCACGGTCTCAGGAGAGATCCAAGAAAATTTTTTAATTATTTCCGTATGACAGTTTCTGCATATGATGAACTACTTACAACATTCGTTGGACAAAAACTGACAAAACTGGATACAAATATGCGAAAATCTATCACTCCCGCTGAAAAATTAGCAGTCACTTTGAGGTAAATATAATATTTTTAATCTTTTTTTAGCAACAAATTTTACCATTTTATTAACAAATGAAAACAAGTAAAAATAAAGTTAAACAAAAAAATTTTAATCTTTGTAAAAATGGATATAACTGAAAAACATAACTTTTTAGCAACAAATTTTAACATTTTATTAACAAATGAAAACAAGTAAAAATAAAGTTAAACAAAAAAATTTTAATCTTTGTAAAAATGGATATAACTGAAAAACATAACTTTTAAGTAAACAAAAACAACATTTTAACTTTTTTCAATTCAATATTTCATGAACTTTTTCTTAAATTAAGTCGATACGTGGATGCTGAGAATTAATAGCTATATAAGAAACTCGTTTATGAAGGAAGACTGTGACTCGGGACGTGAACGAGGCTGCGAATCTTCAGGAGATTCGATGTTTGTGTAGTTTGATGACGAAGGGGAAACAACACTCGAATGTTGTGTAGATATAGGTTGTATGGCACTAAAATATTTTGATGTATCTTTCTGATTGGACACAATTGGTTGATGACTAGATGCATAATTTTGATGAGTTGAGCGGATTGGATAGTTAGGTGACCCCTGTGCAGATGTGTTGTGTTGAAAATTCATATGTTGTAATACAGTTTGATGTTGAATACTTGGACTATGTGAAGCTACAAATTGATTGTTATTTGAGTACATTCTATACGAAGGGCTTGCTTGGTATAAATATTGTGGATGATGTGTGGGAAGTACTGACGCTGTGTGTTGTAGCTGGAGTGTTTCTGATGAAATTTGATTTTGTTTTATTGTTTGTGCAATTCTAAGTACTTCTGTTCTGAATATAAGTGTTTCGTCGTCATTAAATTTTCGTATAATGGGTAACAAAGAATGAAAAAAATGTTGATGTTCATCTGGTTTTTCATCAAAAATTTCTTTTTGAGTTTGTGCATCTAAATATTGCATAAATTTCTTTTCAAGATTTGTTTCTTTTTGTTTGTTTTGTTTTGTTTTATTTGATTGGATATTTTGTGACGTAGAACGTGGTTCAGCTTCAATTTCTGAAGGTTGAATTTCAGTTTCCTGCACATCAACTTCGGTGTTATCTAAATTAATAGAACTTTAAGTTTTTCTCGGAGTAATTGTGTTTATCAGGAATCTCATTTGTTCATGGTATAAATATTGTTTTTATATTTTTTTTTTGCGCCATCTCCTGATTTGGGCTTATCCTCTTTTAAGCTTCTAGTGAACGCATCTCTAAGATTCCTCCATTTCTTTTCTATGCTGTCTCCTATAATTAATTAATAATTTGAATATCGAATCTCAAATTACATATAACAATAAACTATTTAATATATACGACGATATAATATAATGCATTTAACTGTAACAGTGGTGGTGTTTAAAATTTAGCTACTGATACATATTATATTATATTATTTAAATAATCTAAAAAATGTCAGAGTTCAAAAATTATATAAAAACATATAAAATTGCACTATCTATACTTTACCAGTAACACATATATAAATATATAATGTTTTATATATTTTAAAATTAAGACAACTTATTATTTAATATTTCAGATACCTTGGGTCTGGGTGTACATTCACAGATTTGCATTATTCCTACAAATTAGGAACATCAACAATTGCTCAGATTATTCGGGAAGTTTGTATTGTAATATGGGATGAATTAGTTGAAGTTTACATGCCTTCTTTTACAGATCAATATTGGCAAAATATTTCTACTGGTTTTGAACAACGAGCGGATTTCCCTAATTGCTTAGGAGCGGTGGACGGAAAACACATTCGTATAATTAAACCCACTGGAACTGGTAGTCAGCATTATAACTATAAACATTATTTCTCAATTGTCTTATTAGCAGTTGTGGATTCAGACTATAGGTTTATATATGTTGATGTGGGATCATTTGGGAAGGACTCCGACTCCACTATTTTCAAAAATTCATCGTTCGGAACTTTATTAGCCAATGAATCACTACATATTCCCAGACCATCTCAATTACCGAATACGAATGAAACTGTTCCATATGTATTTGTTGGCGATGAAGCTTTTGGTCTATCAAAAAACGTACTACGACCCTACGCAGGAAGAAATTTATCGGAAAAAAAAAAATTTTTAACTACCGTTTGTCTCGTGCACGAAGATATGTGGAATGTGCTTTCGGAATTTTATCAAATAAATGGAGGATTTTTCATAGACCTTTAAACGTTACCACAGATTTGGCGGTTGATATTACGAAAGCTTGTTGTGTATTGCATAATTATGTACGTGAAAAAAATGGATATGTTTTTCAAGACACGCTAACTATTGATGGGTTCAATGAAATTGAAAGACCTAATAACATCAACCGCGGCAGTAGATTCGCAAGTGACATAAGAAATACATTTGCAGATTACTTTCATACCATAGGAGCTATACCATGGCAATATGGAAAATAGTTAAGTTATAATAATTATTATTTTTCTAATTTTAAATATTACTTATTAGTTATTAATATCGATTTTTCCGCCATAGTATAATTTTTGCTTAAATAGTTTAAGTATTGACTTAAAATAATATAATATAACTATTCTTATAATGTAATAATAATATAATGCTGATGACATAAATATAAAATTATGAGAAATTATTAAATTGAATATTATATTATTACACAACGTTTAAATAAGAAATAAAATGTCAACTACTTACCAATTTGTTTTTGTTGCTGCCTAGAGATCTTATTGAAATCTGGATATAATAAAACACATATTTCTTCCCAAGCCGCTCTTTTTAAATTTCTATCTGAATATTGATCCAGGCTTTTATCCCAAAGAAGGGCTCTTGATTGAACTTCACTGATAAGTACATCTATATCTATATTTAAATTGTCGTCTGAAAATTCACAAATTTTCGGCGATGGCGTATTCGCTCCGCCAGAGCGGTTGCATTCATCGGAGGATGACATGGTACTGAGTTTGTTTTTTTGGTTTATCAAACGATAATGATCGTTCGTGTGTTTTAATCAATTTATTTCTGTACATTTCGATTGAGATATTTTAGTCGTACGATATTTTTATCGTCTGGAATATTTAAGTGCATCCGACAGTTTTCGAGGTGACGTACGATTATCTTATCGTACGACATTTTATCGTGATCGTGTGAACAGCTCTATTTATAAACATGTAAATTCAAATATCGTGCGATAATATTTTCGTGCGATAAATTAATCGTACGATGAAATATCGCTCGTGTGTAACGGCCCTAAGATTTGATGTTATTTAATTAACCATTTAAATTTGTTTGTTATGTTTTAATTTTTACTGTCTAAGATTTGACGTTATTTAAATTTATAACCATTTGAAATTGTTTTAATTTTTACTGTTTAAGGTTTGATGTTATTTAAATTTGTTTTTTATTTATAAATTTATAAAATAATATCTTTTTTTCAAATTTTTTTGTAGAGGGTTACATTTTATTTTGTTAAACAATTTATATACTATATAAATATAAACATTTCTATGATTAAATTTATTTTTTTGTTGTATTATACATTTAGTTGTTATGTACCAAATTTTGACTACGTTAACGCCCAATGGCCTTGTACAATGCCATATCTATAACTCATTAACTAAAAGTATAAAAAAATTCACAAAATTGGTAATGTACATAACTAATACCCCAAAAGTTACAAAAATTACAAAACAAATTTTTTCAAAAAAAAAAAAAATTTGGGACTGAAAGGGTTAAAAGCTTAGGTAGATACTATGGAACATTTATTAAAATAATATTATATTTGTTATGGTTTATAGAAAAATAAATTATATAATATACCTAGTACTACTGTTGTACAAACGTTACAACTAATTTTATGACTGTAAACTTATATTGTATATTATATATTTTAAAATGTAGTAATTAAATATTTACTTGCCATTATTAAGAGTTGATGGACTTCTGCTCGACCAGTTTAGGGACTCTTTTATGCAT